AGAGTGGAAGGGAGTATGCATTTGTGTTAGTTACACTTTCTGTTTCTTGCTAAGTTTTGGGGCAGACTGACTTTCAGGCTTCTAGTACATGGATTCCAGAGTCCATTAAACCATGTGTTTACTTCTTCAAATTACTGTATCACTGAAGGGTATTATAGTTCTGGTTATTAACTTGAGAGTATTGAAAATCTCATTTGTTTTTAAAAACGGCACAGACAGCTTGTAGTTCCTTATTTTGCTAAAAGTTCAGTGGATTCAGGGTACCTTTTTGCAACGTTTCCTGTCCCAGTTGCAATGTCATTGCTGCTTTCAGGAAGAAAACCAAAACAAACTGTGTATGCAAAAAGGGCAGAGACAATTGTGCAATAACCAAAATAGCGTCTTTCTCTGGACAGACTCTAGTTGAACTTTTCCAAATGACATCATCACTGATGTCATGTGATCCATCCTTTAACTGCCTTTAAGACATTCTGTTTCAGTGGGAAGTGGTTTCTGATATAATTTCTAAGGTATTGGCTTCATAATGCATGCAATGTGAAAACTGGTTACTACCAGTTCTGACTCTGAATAGTAGCTATGGCACTAGGATTAATAAAGAGCTTCCTGTAGAGGTTAGATATTGTAGAGAACAACAAGAGCTGGTCCCTAAAAGTCAGTTTTCAAAGACTCAAGCAAAGGAAGCTATACAATGAAATGGTTTAATCTCCATTTGTAGCAGTTTCAGAAGTCAGTCCTGTAGCAGCATCCAGAACGTTGCATCACATAATTTAAAGCCAAGCTGCAGTAGCTCCTGATGTAGAACGTGTCTCACAGCTAGTAATTCTATCCACTTTGGTATAATTCCTCTTTGTAAAGATCTTGAAATAAAAGTAGAGTAATATAAATTGTTTCCTATACTGATTGGATATTTACTCCTGCTTTATAAATTGCTCAAAATTTAAGTCTGTATTGGGGAAAAATTCTAAATGTTTAATGATACCAGGAAGAAATTTTGTGTTTTGGCAGTAGCCAATATGTAGCAGAACATAAACAAAATTCTATTCGTAAAAGTACAATTAAATCTGAAGACATAAAAAAGTTTGGTTGGAAATCTGTAAAGCCAGACGTCACTGGTAAGATTTTAAGTAGTCTGAGAACAAGCCTTTTAAAGAATGTTAGTACAAACTGAAAATATTTTTCAGTAGTTTTTTTTTTTTTTTTTTTTTATTTGTTTTTTTTTTTTTTTTTTTTTTTTTTCCATTTTAAGTCTTAGCATGGTTAAAAGCTGTACTTGTAATTTAGCTATTGAAGGCATAACACAGGAATAGAGTGGAAGATGTCTCCTGTGAGAACAGGCTGAGAGAGTTGCACTTGTTGAGCCTAGAGAAGAGAAGGCTCTGGGGAGACCTTATTGCTGCCTTCAAGTACTTAAAGGGGAGGGACTCCTTATCAGGGAGTGTAGTGATGGGATGAGGGGTTATGGTTTGAAACTACAAGAGGGTAGATTTAGATGAGGTGTAAGGAAGAAATTCTTTACTGTGAGCACAGTGAATCACTGGAACAGGTTGACCTGAGAAGTTGTGACTATCCCTTCCCTGGAAGTGTTCAATGCCAAGTTGGATGAGGCTTTGTGTGATCTGATCTCATGGGATGTGTCCCTGCCTGTGGCAGGGGGGTTGGAAATAGGTAATATTTAAAGTCCCTTCCAACTTGAACCATTCTATGATTCTTTGATTCTGTTTAGGAGGACTAGGGCAGAATAACTTCTACAGCAGCTGGAGGCATTACTGAAAGTTTCTTCTTGTACTGACTATGTGAGGAGAGCTTGATCAGAAGTGCTGCTTGGCTTAACCTGTTAATCTTTCATCCTTGATGGCACTGGTCTGGTCATTGCAATATTGTTTGGAAAACATATTTTTCAGAAATTAATTTTCTGTAAAAAAGGTAAGGATAGAGGGCAGATTTTATGCTCACGTTGTACAGAAAGTAAAAGGAAATCAGACAAAAAGTCCACTTATTTATGGGGGTTGGAAGTTGCTGACTATTTATACAGAACTGCACAATGGTGGATTTGGCAGAAATGTTATTTTTCTAGAACTCAGATTGGTAAGAGTAATGGCAATTAGTGAAATTCATTTCAGATAGTGTCATCTCTCAGGCAAAATGACTTTTAATAAATGACAGTGCTCAGTACTTATATTAGGTTTGAATAATGAAGACAATAAAGTGTTATCTTGGTCATTAAAAGATACAGTAAATCCTCTATGAGAAATACAACAATAGACTGTAAAAGTGAATTAGTTTCTGTGTGCGTTATGGAGATTTTATGCATTAATTGTGCTGTTACATACAGTTTTGCTGTTTATCCATTATTATATGCAGAGTTCTTATCTCTGCAACAAATTACTGCAGTTTAATGGCACAGAACATTTTCCTATTGCACAGCCGGGAGCCAAGAACACTTCTATGATCTACCTGCCATTGATTGTCTTCCTACCTAGTTAAAACTGTTGAAGTCCACTGGTACTGGAACTGAACACAGTGTGTTTATTTTTCTGCACTTGGGGGCACCACTGGAATCCACCTTCCCTGTTAGAACATAAAGGCTCAGGATGAAGTTACTCTAGTGCCTGTGGCATAAAATGTTTATTGTTGCATCAGTGTTTTTAATAATACTTTGTCATATTACACAGAGAAAAAAATCAAGCTCTTTTTTAAGTTGATTGAGCTGAACAATAGCTGCAGTTTCCCTTTCTTTCCTAATGCCAGGCAAAGCATTTGTGTGTACTTGTGTGTGTCTTTATTTTTGGACTGTCCAAAGCAGGAGGAAACCTGGTTGAAAGACAGTTATTAAGCAGTGAATAATGCATTCTTCTGTGAGGGTGTGATAAATCGTACTACTGCTCAGTGACAGAATTTTTTGCCTGCTCCCATTTCATTATCATAAGGAGAGAAACACACTATATTGCTCCTCGTGTTGTGTGGATATACTCTTGTGATATTACCAGTGAGAAAAACTAAGAATTCGTGAGAGAAGCCTGAAGATTAAATGCCTGTGTGTGTGTGCATACATGTGTATACATCTATGTTTTTACATGCAACATTCTACATGGGCATTTTCTTTATTTATTGTGAACCTTTGGGCTTGTTCTCACTGTAATGATAACTTGACTAACCTAAACTTGGGTAAATCTCGTTAGCCTTACTTGACTGAGAGAAGTTGTGCTTGAAAGTAGTGGTATTTGGATCAGCAGCAGAATTCAGTCTTGTCTCATTAGCAGCTCCAGAGCTGGCTGCATGTTTGTATGCTGGCTTGGAGCTACACTTCACTTACAGGCCAAGTAAAATTAAGAAACTAAATTGTTATTTGGAAATCTCCCTTCCATATACTACTTCAGACTGTTCATGCTGGAGGAAATAAACAGAAAAGGGAAAAACTGCCATAATTCGGGGAATTATTAGCACTCATCCAGCTTGCTCATTGTTAGGTTAAAAAATGAAACCTGAGAAAGAAGGGAAAAAACAACATTAACTCTTGGGATTTTTTTATATGTATATGGCAGCTTCTGTCAAATAAATATTTGAGAATCTGTGTCATGTTTTCATCCACACAAAGAAATCTGTGGGCCTAGTAAAACTGCTAGTAAGCAGTGAAAAGAGCTTGTTGCCTCTGCCCTCCTTGTTTGACTCTGAAAAGTTAAGTAGAGATTTCTCCAGATATACCAAGGACAGGTCTCTCAAGTGAATTGCACTGCATTTGCAGTCAATTTTCTGATTATAGTGGCAGCATTATCTTAAACTGCTTGAAGATGAAAGCAGTAACTGCCAAAAGAAGCCTAAAGACAATAGTACTGAACCAGTGTTTTCCAAATCAGTAAATATTCCAGTAGCTGTATTTTAAAATTTGTTTCTTTTTTTAGTTAAGACATTTAGAGTGCTTTTACTCATTCAGACATTTGGAACAGAAAATTGAGTGTATTTTCACAACAAAAAAACTCTGTTAATTCAGAAAAGAGACTAACACCACCACAGTAAGGAATTCTTATTGCACCATCTCACAGGAATTCTCTGTGATAAAAAAAAATAATGCTGCTGAAGCACCAATGTGCACCAAGTATACATCTAAATATTTCTGTTGGCAAATGGTTAGTGTTTCCTACTTATAAGGGCTATGGTGCCTTGTAATCTCAAATTCAGTTAATTCAGTTTATGCAGTGATTATTGACATGAGACTTCCACAGAAACATGTGTTTCTCACCTCCCTTTTTATGAAGTTATCTAATTAGACTGCTGAGGTAGGTCTTGCTTATCAGTTGTTTTTTCACTCCAAGTTGCAGTAATCCAGGTTGTGCCTGGATTTCATGTCAGGGAACGTATATCATATAGATTTATCCTAGAATAAATAAACATAAGACAAACCAATAATAACTGGTTTCTTAAACATAGATTTCTAGATATGTAATTCAGCATGTATATAAAAACCCCACTGTGTAGCTAAGCTGGTTTGCCCAGTTCCTGCTTTTACTGTAAAGTTTACTAAAACTCTCATCTGCCTCAGAGGTGATTATTTGGTTGTGGAGGTGGTAGTTTAAAGTTACTATCAGCAGGGCATGAGTTAAATAAAAATCTGTTTAGCAGAAATGTATGCAAGGACAGTACTACTCTACGGTGAAATTGCTTAGTCCTGTTGATACAATTCTTAGCTCAATAATGACTTAAAAATTTAAGCTGCTAATAAAAGGAACTAGTTTTAAGACATGTTCTGAATGTTTATCTGGGAAGTCGGTTTATTGCTTGTTAGGTTTTGTACACATAGTAAAAAATGGCTTTCTTACAGCTCCTCAAGATTTTTTGCACCTCTGCCTAAATTTCAGCTGTCATTAGATCATGTGATCCATTTCATTGTACTTTGCCCTGTGTATTATAGCTCTGGGACTGTTGATACTGTTGTTAGCTGGTGTATAACCTTATCTATAGTTATTTATTAATCTTCTCATGGTACTGTTGTGATCTTTTTTCAGTGTATCTTGAGGACAGTTTTGTAAAATCCGGAGTGTTCAACGTGTCAGAACTTGTGAGGGTGTCCAGAAGTAAGTTATAATTTTGCAGTTAATAATTTCCAGTGGCTGTTATAATCAAGTAAAGTTTTTTTTTCTTTAAGTTTTTTTTTTTCTCCCCAAGGTGTAAGATGCATAGGAAATGCATGTCTCTGTCACTATCACCATCACTAACACAGTCTGAGCACAGCATTACAGTTCATCTTGACTGTGTTTATAGTAAAACAAACAGAAGTTTTCTTTTGTGTCTTTGATATTTAAAGATCTAATCCATTTGTTGTGTGTCACTCTGCACATTTTGAGATGTCAGTAAAACTACCATATATAGCAAAACCTTCTATTTGTTATACTTGGAGCTTTTTAAAGTTGTCCTATACAACCTTGGATTTTGCTAAACCATCTGATTATTATTTTAGTTCATTTTTGAATTTGTAGGTCTTAAAAGAAGAATCACAGCCTGTATATAAAGGATGACTAAGTTAATGTATTATACGCTTATTTTTCTTTTACTCATAGCACTGGCTGTAAATGAATTTCTAATTACAGTGGCTTGTTTTGGCATCAGAAATGTTATGCACACCAACACACACAAAAAGTAACATAAAACGTAAATATAAAAGGACAGGTGAAGCTTTTATTGCAGAAAGAAAACCCCGAATGAATGTAAATAAGAAGATCTGTTTTGTTGACATCTAAGGATCTGCTGTAATAATATGACATAAAATCAGTGCATCTTTTCATTTGGCATTGCTTTCTAAATACTTCTCTTCTCCATTAGTATTAATACTTTTAAAGTATTTCTCTTAAGACTTCATTCAGAAGTGAACAATAATGCTTGAAAATAATAGTTAGAGTGTCTGCAGTGATGACACCAACATTATAACCACTGTCCAGAGACACCTCTTCTGATGAGACAAGGGCAAAACCAGTGAAATACGTTTCCAAATCTCTGTCCAAATTTTGCACAGGAGATAATTCCTGCCAGGTTAAGATCCTTGAGGAATTTAATTAATCTAGTTACCTTTAAGATGCCTGTGCCATTTCATTTGCTGTGGTCAGAAATTACTATTCAACAATTAAAATTATAGCAAGTTCTTCTAGAAAATACTGAGCATAGCCACCCTGCAGTGTTAAGACATATTCTTTTAGGTGCTTGCTGAAGGTATGGTTTTGCTGTTTCAGGAGCCTGCAGATATGCAAAGCACAGCTTTCTTTTATTTGTCAGGTGGTTAAACACACTTCAAAGTATCAGGCCATTGATTAAAAAAGAATCAGTATTATAGTTATGTTGTGAAGTCATACCTTTTGCAGCTGTTATACATGACAAACTCCTAATAATAAGCTTTAAAGCATGTGGTTTCTGTGGGTTTTCTTACCATGCATTTGTTTAACCTCACGCGGCAACAGAGCTGTACTTTAACTGTTGGGAAAAATACAAACATCCAGATGTGTTACACAACATGTACTTATTAAGTGCCAAAGGTAGTTAAAATGTACGATGCACAGACAGTGAACAGAGGTAAATACACCACAATATGTAAGATGTAATTTATTCTTGAAATGCCAAGGCGTATGATACACAGACTCAGTAAGGAGGTGAAGATAACACTGCGTGTGTGTGTTTGTGTGTAGGTGTACACAAGTGAAGCAGTACCTGTGGCACTGGCAGAAAGAAAAAGGAGGCAGCAAAGCATGCTGTTAGCAAAGGAGGCTATTATTAATTAAAAAGAGTCAACAGGAAGGGAAAAGGAGTTTGTGTGTCCACAAGTTTTTTCTTTCTAGTTATTTCAGTTCTTTAATAAATAATGTTGGCTGTCCTTATAAACCCTGCCACAATCATTACAAAAGTCCTTGTACAGAAATCTTGATTTTGTTCTGAGGTTTGTGTTACCTTTTTCATATTGATGGTTCCAGGTTATCTATTATATGACAAATATGTTATGCCTACATAACTGTGAAGGGATTTCTAGGGACTGGGGAAGCCAATTTGCTTTTTAAAATATATAAACATTGATAGAACTTTTTTGCACTTGGTTTCTGCAAGATGCAGGAAATCAGATACATGTAGTAACATCTTGATGTTTTTCCCAGTGTTAAAAATGAAAAAATGACTAAAAAGATAGGAAATTATATTTAATGCATTATGATTATACATTTTTCAGCACCCATAACCCAGGGAACTGGAGTGAACTTCCCAATTGGAGAGCTTCCGAGCCAACCATATTACCATGATATGAATTCGGGTGTAAATCTACAGAGGTCCTTGTCCTCTCCACCAAGCAGGTAAAAACTTGAATGAAATAAGTGCTAATTTGAAACCTGGTTTAATATTATAGGAAAAGCAATTCACAAATACTGTCACCAGCCAACTGTTTTATGAATTTCCTCTGTTTTTGTAAGGTGGGCTACTTATGTAATCTTGTAATTTGAAGTAGTGTCATTTTTGCCTGTCATTGCTTTTGATATCAAAGATGATAATAACTTCAGGTTTTGAAGTGCTCACTAAATCATCTGCCAAGAGAGCAGTTACACATCCTGAAATTGCTCCTGAGTTGCAGGAAGGTCTAGCAGCCAGGAACCTGCTGGCAGAGCCTGGTGCCACAGGATGATTGCAGGCACAAAGACTGTCTTTGAGGGGTCTTTCTTGGACCTCTGTCTTCAAAGATATGCTGGGACAGATTCTATTTCCTGTGGAAAGCCATTAGGGCAGGTATACAAAGGCAAGATGTCTTTATCCATAGCATTGCACCAGCTCATGCAAGTGTGTTTCCTGCCTCACCATTAGAAGGGACACTTCCCAGCACAGTGGGAACAAGCAGGAGCATGTGAAGTAGTCACAGGATCTCTGATTTTTCTCAGGGGTCTTTGTGTGCCTGCTACAGGCATTTTGATCTGAGGGACCCACTTATTCCTTGCTTCAACATACTGCTTTCTAACTCTGAGAAAGACACAGTTCCCTCCCTCAGGAGCAGCTTGCAGGCCCACAGATGTGAAGAATCTTCTCTGCCCTCTTTCTCACTCTCAGATAATGTATTGTCTTGTCACACCCCCCTAGGGCCTCCAGTTTTCTGAAACTAAGAAATGTACTATGAAATCACAAGCACTATAGGACCCCTCATTGTCCCACATTTCTGCCCCCCAGTGAGTCAGCAAGTGTCTGTGCAGTGGGATAGGATTTAACAGGACTGTGAGGGATCTGGGGTTCTCTTCCACCAGTGCCTGTTGCTTCTGAGTTATTTTGCTCATATTCTGCTTTTTCATTCCATTGTATTTTCAGCTTGATGGTTCTCCTAGTACATTTTAGAAATGTACTTTCATTTTTGTATTTTCATTGTATTTTCAGCTTGATGGTTCTCCTAGTACATTTTAGAAATGGGCAGATTAATTCTCACAGTGTTGTCTAAATAATAAAAATTATGAGTGACAATAATAATCATAATATACCACAATGATTAAACCTCTGTCCTGTTTTTTTTTGGCAGTCAGCATAACAACTTCAGTATATGCTGGTACAAAGAAACTTCCACTGTATTGAAATGCTGCCTTCTTTTATGTAGTGTGACTTGAAATATAGGCCTTTTGTTGTTTTTAATTAAACTAGTTTAAAACAAAAAGATTTTGTTTCAGGTTAGACCTCTTTGAAAAGCTTAGGATGAAATACAGTGAACTACTGTTGAAATATAGTAAACTACATTTTTTCCTTATTAGCACATTCAGAAAGTTCCTCTTTTACCTCGACGTTATTAGTAAAACTTTTCCAGTTCTTTGTTTTACTTTCATGGTTTCTGCTTAGTGTTTGACACTCTCATGACACAGCTTTTCTTTGGTATGTTACAGGAACTGATTTCTTGGTTGATCAGCCAAATGCTATTAGTACTTTATATGTTATCCATTCATGCCACATCTGAAATATTAGTTATGTGAAAAATGCAAGCACATACCTGCACTCCATATTATTAAATAACATAATCTATGTAAGTTAATGTAAGCTCTAATATCTGCATTTTAGTGCTTTGTTTGCCTGAATTGCTTTCTGTTGAAGCATTTGTTGAAATCCAAACAGTTCATATATCACTACTAGCTGCATATCATATTCATTGCCAAATCTCATATTACTTCAACAGCAAAAGACCCAAAACTATCTCCATAGATGAAAATATGGAGCCAAGCCCAACAGGAGACTTTTATCCTTCTCCAAATTCACCAGCTGCAGGGAGTCGGACATGGCATGAAAGAGATCAAGGTGAGTAACATGGGACTCTTGTACCTTGAATATATTCAAGTACACAATAAATCTTTGCATCTGCCTTTCCGTTATTGCAATAAAAGGATGTTTTTTTAGCAGAATCATTATTTTTCTGTCTGGTGTGCGTATTTGCTGCTCTTGTAAATGTAGTTAAAAGCAACATTCAAAAGGATATGGTATATACAACCACGTAATAATTTTTCTGTCTAGTGGTTACCTTATATATTGTTTGAAAAGATGTGTGTAAAGTGAAGTACTTGGTATTGTATATGCTGTGATCATCCTAGCAGGATTTTGAGGACAGTGGTTTCAAGTAAAAACCAAAACATCTTACTATAGTTGACTCTACACAGATTTTGTTTTGCCATGACAGACTCCTGTATGTGCTTCTAGTCCATACTATGTGACTTAGAATAGGCCCAATAGGCTTTTTCCTGACATTCCCCTCCCCCCCCCACCCCCAGATCTATGGGACTATATCCATAAGCTAAAGGGTGTTGTGTGGCTTACCAGAAGCAAGGGACGTGTTTCTGTGGAGAGGAAAATTATGACTGTCAAGACAGTAAAATTAATTGTCATAACTTTTCCTCATGTTATCTTCATGCTTTGTAAATCCAGATTCCTATCTAAATCTATTCATTCACCTTTGCGATGTAAAAATATGTTTAAACTCGCATGTATTCTGTTGGTTAATGGATCCTGTGGCTGAGGTGTTGCAGTTATTTGGAGAGTCTGTGAAATATAAAGCACAGTATATAAAAGTGAAACAGATAAAAAGACATACCTTTGCTTCCTTTCCTGATCTTCTAATGTTTACTGTCCTTTTCCCTGTCCACGGCTCATCATTTGCTCTCATTTCTTCAGTAATGGACAGACCCTTTGTTCTTACCTCATTTTTATATTGCTATAGGCTTCTTTCCCCACCCCCCCCTTGTTTTTTTAGTCCTACTAAATTTTCTGTATGCAAAGTAATGTGATTGGTATTTAATTCAGCCTTAATTTTCACATTTTCATTATAGTTGGTCTCCTTTTAATCTGCTTCTGCCTGCCCTCTGATTTACATTCTCATCATTAGGCTGGTCCTCTCACACAGTATTTACTAGTCTTTTTCTTCATTGTTTCTTTTCTACTTTGTGTTTCCATGGAGGCTATGGTATTTTATTTCTAGCTGTTAAATTAAAAAAAAAAAAATAAATCTTGCCTGTGGCTTTGCATAACCAAATTTCAGAAAGAGGACTTCTGCCAGCCAGAATCTTCCCTCTTGGGCAAAGTATTCTCCTCTGTGACTCTTACCTCTTTTGTCATGACACTTTAGTGTGTTTTTGCATAAAGGACAGGGTAGTACCCCAGCTAATTTTTGTACTTCTAAAATAAATTATTTTTGTGTTTGTGAGGAAAACAGACCATTGTTCCTCTCTGAAGCGGTGTCCACATATCTTCACTTGTGAAATTAAGTCCTTCTGTGCTGCTGAGTGAGCTGTAGGGACTCCTGAGAAATGCAGTGCTACATGGGCAGCTGAGCCCGAGTCCTGCTGACACAGACTTTCAGAGATGATCTCTGGAGTTCCCAGCTATCTCAATTGCTTTTTAGCTCTTCAATCATTCTTTTGCAAAGGACTCTGCTTTGTGAACCCTGGGTTTATTCAGTTTTACCAGCCTTTTTCATGTCACATTTATTCGTAGTGAACAATGTTATTGTTCAGATCGCTTGAGTTGATTTACAATGAATCTTTACTTAATTTCTGTGGTATTGGGTAACTTGACCTCTGGACAGCCTTTAACTCTCTCTATATGTTTCATAAACTAGAGAATTCCAAAAGATGAGAAAGACAATAAAATAGACTTGAATCAGTGAATTTTATTTTTTGCTTCCTGGAGTTTACATTCCTCCCTGACTATCCTATTTTCCAGCACTGCTGGGCCTAGTGAAGTTTTTCCAGAGCCCTGGCAGAAAGATTGTCTTTGAGACACTATGAGTGACTTTTTTTTTTGTCCTTAAGAAGTTCTTCCCTTCTTGCAGAAGGACAGATAAACTACTATCCAGTCTGAAAACCATTGTACTAGCGGAAGCATAAGCATTTTGCTCCTAACCATTTATGTTTGGCTTCCACCACTTTTTAAGGTTATCCTTCTGCTGCAAAAATACTGTAAAGTAGTGACCACAGAGCCTGTCTTTGGTATGTGGCCACATTGGGAAGGGGTATGTGGCACCTCCTGGCATATTAGTTCTGCTGCTACTGTTAGATGCTTGAGATCATCTTCATACTAGCGTGTAACTGTGTAAAGCTCCTTTTGGACACAGAGGTCTTACCATGATATAAGATCTGTGGAAACTTGTATTCTGTTTCCTTATGCCTGCAAGCATAAAGATAATAGAAGTTTGGAGGTGGTTTCTATGCCAGAGAGCTCACTGGTACTACTTCCCTCTCTCCCATGGACATCTGTGTGTCATATGAAGCTAAGCATAAATGACAAAAGGAGAATCCATTTGGGATCACATTTGAGTTCATCCAGTGTCACCAGGGGAGGCTCATGTAGTCCCAGCAGGCACTGCTTTTCCAGGCAGTCTCCAGAGGTTGTTAGCACCAGAAATTTGAAATGTTCTGCAGTACCCACAAACGAGAATATGCAGAGATAACATATTTATGGGTAAGTAGCTTCTTTTTCACCCTGATGCAATTTTTAACTTCTCTAAGAGAAACAAAATCAGAAATAGGGTTGATACCAAGATACAGCATTTGATTTTAGTTTCAGTCTGTTTTGAATCTGACAGAGCAAAGTCTCTACCTTCACACCTGAAATAGAGATTTTTTTTTTCATCTGTATACTTAAGTGTAATGTATTTTCCTAGAAAAAGAAATTACATAGTTTTTAAAGATTCTTTTATCGTGAAGGCTTTTCGTCTTCATTTGGCTGCATTTGTAAAGTTGCAGAAAAGAGATATCAGTGGCAATTTGGAAGTGGAGATGTTCACAATAAAAGAATGATAACTGAAGCAGGTTGGAATAAAGCATTAGAAGTTTCCTGAGTGTCTGAGCAGTATCTAACCATTTTGATACAAAGAATGGGACAAAGATTAATGGGTAAGACAGAAATGTACTGAGGTGAAAAATGTGACAGTTGAAAATTTGCAGTGGGGTGGAACAGGTTAGACCAACCTTTTACTGATACGAATAACAAATACCATTACTTTAGTAGGTAAATAGACATATGGAGAGGAGTGATTCTGTATGAGTGATTCTGTTGTAATCCTCACAGTCTGTACAGCTTCTCTACTGTGCAAGCATGCATCATGAAGGGTAGGACTGTGACTATAGGAGTACTTGTGGTTTAGCCAAGGAGTGTCATCTGAAACAAAGAAAAAGAAACCTAATCCAACTACAAGAAAATCTTCCTGATACCACACTCTACTTTCAGTTGTAAAACTCCAGACTTTGTCCTTTTGCTGTTATCGCTCTTCTTCCTGTCATACTAATTCCAAAAATGTTTTTATAAGGTTTCTAGATGTTGTATTTTATAGTTTATTTTAAGGGTGTTGGCTGTTTGAAGATGTAATTCTGGGCAGAAATAAGTAAGCATATCTGGAAAATGGGAGTTTCAGATGTCATAATGTTGGTCAAAGCCAATATGTAAAGGGTTATAAGCAGTAGCTTCATTATCTAGTGCTCTAGTATTGTTATGTGTGTTATAAAAATATATTAAAAAACCCCTAAGCCAAATTAGTATTTAAAATAATTTTTTTTTTTTGTTTGTATACATGTTGAAGTGAGATTATAAATCCTTATGGAAGAAAACAAAGGCTTCTGAAGCCATGAAACTGTACTGGACATTTACTTGCAAAATTTTGTGACTATATTGAAAATCTATGTAACCACAATAGTATGTGTAAAAGTTTCAGAAACAGCTTGAAAAAAAACAGCTGTGGATTTACAGTGTTTCTTTTGAGTTACATACATTTAATCATTGTGGGAAGATTCTGTTGTTCTTTAAACTGTGACTCTACTTGCATGATTTTCTGAAACAGGTGTTAGATCTTCCTGCAGAGCAAACAGGCAGGTTTAAAGATGCAAAGATTTCTCCCAAACCTTCTCTCTACCACTAGCCTTCCAAATAACTAGCCATCCTCTAAAAATCCCAAAGCCTAAGAAAGCAAAAAGCCTGAGAACTGTACATTACTTAGAAATAGAGCCCTAGCATGAGAGTCAGGAGTTCAATTTCTGTGCCTGCTCTGAGATCTTGTGCAATTTGTGTGTTCTCTCCTGGAACTCATTTTTTTCTAGTTGAATGTCTTATTAACTTCATTAATGTCTGAATCATGTCTTACATTTCTAACATCTGGAAATATATCTAGATCTAGAATGTAGTTAGCTGTAAATGTTTTGCAGTCTTGGTTGCTGTTACAGAATTCTTTACATGCTTCTGTATTAAACAAAATTTTGAGTTCCTGCAGTAGCGTGGCAATACTTTGTGAAACAGATGGAAACTGGTGCATAGTAAATTCACTGGGTGTTTCAAAAATTCTGAGGAGGACAAAATTTTCTACAGAAAAAAACAAAATTACCCTCCCCATTTGGAAGAGGAAGTTATTAAAAATACAGCAAAACTAGTGACTACTGCCGTGGATAAAAAAACTACTTTTGATCTAATAGGCTAAGAACTGTTGTTGAACATTTTGATTTTTTAACTGGTAAGTAAATCAAATACTTTTTCCCTGAACTCATAGCAAAACATGATTATCAGAACAGAGCACAGTGTGTGCACCTAAGGCTTCCCTTCTAAATGCTAGCTTGACAAAGTGTATGGACATTATTGCAGACAATTTCAATATTTGTCCTTGAAGTCCGTTTTACTGTTCTAGTGCTACAACACTGTGTGTATTGTAAATGAATAAAATGGGTTATCACCAGTGCACACTGGTTATCATAAAAGTGGAGAGATTCACATGGAATTCTGTAGTATTCAGGTGTCTGGAAATACTGAGTGTCAATATACAATGA